TTGAAGTTCTTTTTATCACTTATTTACTAAAATATAGAAAACTGAAAAGTAAACTTAAGCGAAAAAGTGGTTTTTATGCCAAGTTCTATCATAATAAAACTACTGAATATTACCTCATTTACCAAATTTCATCACATTTTATAAAACTATATTTTATCGCTAATTCCACCAAAATCATGACCAAAGTGCTTCGATAAAAATTGCAGAGCTTTTTAGTGTTTCCATAGAGTCAGAAACACGACATATTTTACTATATTCTGGTAGTTTTTGCACTGTATAAATAAAAAAAAAATTCAATATTTAAACCCTCACGTGGAACGCAACTCAAATTAAATAACTTAAATCAAACGTTTGAAAATGATTTGAAATAACTCTTTCATGCAATTACTCTAAGATAACAAGTAGAGTAAGAAAAATAAATTATTGTAGAAAACCGTATTATGCTAAATCAAGACGAAAGTGATTTAGTTAGAGAAAACTATAACGAATACCTTCATTTCGAGGACAACTCAACTCGGGGTAAATAAGTAGGTTAAGGTGCAACGAGATGCGGAGTTAAGTTCATTGAAGTTCATTCCTGATACTGGTATCAATTGAGGGTTGGAAATGCAATGTATGGTAATTGTGGAATGGATTTTCTGTAATCAAATAATTGAAATAGGTACAATTAATAAGGAGTTCTAGTTTTTCGAATAGTTAATTCAAGCATTAGTAATAGTTTAAGAAGTAATAGTTTTTCGATAGTTAATTCAAGCATTATTAAAAATGAAATTCCTAAACTGAGAGAAAAAGTATGGTCGAAACGACCAGATTATTGTAAAAGTTGCCGTTTTGTTTTTGGATATATGGGAACACCAAAATACAATAGCACATCATAGCAATAGTGTAATTTTCATCGTAAAATTTTACGGAACAACAAGTTCTGATTCACCGAACTTATGCAGTCAGTAATATTTACTGTAAAACCACTGTATTTAGATAAATATTTATTTAAAAATTGCTGGTATGAAATTTCATGATAAAAAGGTTATTTTATGAATATTGCCCTTAGGGTACCCGTACATTTTACCGTAATTTTTATCAGTGATGTTCATGAATAAGAATTAAATTATAAAATACAATTACTTTGTATAAAAGGCGTATAGCTTACTGAAAGGTATTGAAAGCAATTGTTTAAAACAAATGCTACAGAATAAATACATTTATTACTGAATATGTTTGAATCAAAGAATACAAAACACTTTTTCATGTCAGTTTTATTCAGCTTTTCTTACGTTAACACAGGTTGTTAAACAGATTGTAATGAATGGGAGGAAGCATATTAAACTATCAATTGACGCATGAAAAGTTAGATATTTTCAATCGCTTGTCATTTAAATCATCTGCTAGTTTGTTCTGTAATTCAGCATATTTATGATCAGAAAAAGAATTCATTCAAGCCAAGCTGGAATTTTTTTTTGAGGCATTTCTTTCAAAATTTCGCTATTGATCATTTTTTTAAACATTTAATACGATTTTTAAGTGACCGTGAATTTTGAAATGCAATTAATGGTCAAGTTTGATTAAATGTTGGAGGGGGGAATATTGTAGCTCTCATGCTCTGAAAACTACATGTGACTGAAGGCCATAAAATGCGTGATTCACTGGGGGATTTTTTTAAATTCCATAACCAGCTTTAAACAGCTGACCTAATTCTGAGTTTATGATTATCAATATTCAATTCAATGCTTCATAGCATTATATGTATCCTATCAATAATTTTGAACTAAGCCCAGACGACAAGGGAACTTCTAAATTGGCAGAGGACTGTTTGATTTAACTAACCAGTATTTGCGCTACATAGAGAGGAGAACCAAGATAACCTCTCATGGTTTTCCCGACGGTAAGATGATTCTAACCCATGATCCGTTTACCACTGAGGATATTTTACGTTAGCACTGTGGTCGGTGTAAGCCATGTACAGAATTCGTATCAATCAGACGTATCAACTAACTTCGAGAACTCGCCTCTCAGTTATACGACTTTTCTCCTTGTTCGCACCCACCACAGTGCTGATATAAAATATACTCAGTGGTAGACGGATCAAGGGTAAGAGTTTCCTAGCCGTTAGGCTAACCATGGGAGGTTTTCGTGGTTTTCCCCTCCATTTAACGCAAATGCGGGTTAGTTCCATCAAAAAGTCCTCCATGAAAGCTATTTTCTACCAATATTTGATCTGTTAGTTTGCTTGTCTTTGGATTGGATTCAAAATTACAAGGCTACTGAGTTAAATTTTGGTAGTAGTAAATATAAAATTGGGTCGGTTGTTCAACAACGATTATAAAATAAAACTATTTTAGAAGTAACAATTCCTCGGTTGCTATATATTCAGATCTCGTCTTAATGCTTGAATGATGATAGAGAAATAAATAAGCTAATTTTAAAGTGCATTATTAAATTTTGGAAACGCACTTTTTAATCTCAAAGGCCATTGAAGTTTAAATTAACAAGGTCATGGAAGTTAATGTCACGGCTAATGCAAAAACATTTATATAACAAAACATAATTGTAATTTTTCTCATTTATGCTGCTAAATAATACATAAATTGATACAGAAAACATTTTAGTGGACTAAAATCTTAATAATAAGGACGCGACGAATAAAAAGTTTTATTTTATTTCAATGTTTTTTTCGCATATTGTATTTATATTACATTTTTTTGGATGAGTTAAATGATTGCTCTTCTACTTGTAGTTTTATAGATTTATTATATTTTGGTTTAATGTTCCAAAGTTCTGACATATTAAATTTTAATTACGCTTTATTTACCTTTTCATGATCTATTATTTTTGATGCCGTTTATAAACTTTATAAATTTTGATGAATTTATTATAATGATTTCGTAGAAATTTCTTTCTTGGAAAATCTTGATATAACTGTTGCTTTTGATTAAATTTATGCATAACCTGATGCATACGTAATAAAAGCACAATTTTAATTTTTTAAAAAATGAATTAAATCAAGCAAATTAGGTGATTTCCTTATGTTAAAAAGTCCATATTTGAATGAATATAAATTTATTTATTTAATGTTCCGACTATTGGCTTGCATTGCTTAAGCTGATATTTTTATTTTTGAATCGTAAGAACAGAGGAAAATTATAAGAAAAGAGTAAAATATTTAGCTAATGTTTAAAACAGCAACTGAGTTTAGCCTCTAGCCATGACTTCGTTTCCACATAGTTTCAAGTCTTATATGAATCTCTGTAATCTGGTACGGGTCATGGATGATGACTATCTCATAATTTGCCGAGCTATAACCAAACGTTAGCTTGTCGACCACTAGTGGGAGGCAAGGGGCCTTTTTGATTCATAGACTATCTCTACAGTTACTTCTCTTGTTCTCTATATTTATTTTTCTCCATGTTTGTTCTCTATATGCTTGCTCTCTATGTGATAATTTATACTCTTATTTGCTGTAGTTGTCTTTTAATCTTGCAATTAGAAGTAATAAAGAGATTTAATGCTTAAAACGCAAACATATCGCTGTATCTATTCATGCAAGTTTAGACTTAGGCAAGTTAAGACTTCTTTTATTTAATAAATTTCCTTTTCTTTCATTTTTCTTCTTTACCTACAACTTAGCAACGTGTTGCTGCTGTGTTGTGTAAAAGAATTGAAATTCCAATTCTGGGGGACAGTTTGAAAATAAAATTCATAATGGATCAAACCTTTGAAACTCTTAATATTCAAAAATAACATAGACTTCTACGTTTTCCAATTTATGAATATTCTATTGATATTCTTTGTATCACTGAATATGATTTTTTAAAAAAGATTTGGAAGGATGTATATAAGTTATGTTACTAGTGTTGATTACCAGAAAAGCATTTAATTAACAACATTACTTGATTGTTTGGTTTAATTTGGTTTAACTAATGAGGTAACAATGCTTTTCTGCTAACTATCTTTTTCATTCAGATTTCTGTAAACAAAATATAATAAAAAATAGTTTTTTTTTGTTTTGCTCAGGTGTTAGTTAGTGCTGATAACAGAAGTATATTTCTTAAATTTTCTATGCTTTAATTTTGCTCATTTGGCGATTTGTTTTGATTGAAAGTTATAACAAAGAATGAAATGGGATATTTTAGAATAAGAATAAATGAAAATACAATAGATAAATAAATGGATCCAAATTTAAAAAAAAGAAAGGAAAAAAACATTCTAAAAAGAAAAAATCCTCTGTGAAAGGATTAAATAAATAATTACCATTATACAATTAAAGGAAATACTCATTACGTATTAACAGTGGGTACGCATCGACAGGAAATACAAATAACTAAATAAGGTCAATTCAAGCTATATATATTATAGCAATTTTGAAAAAAAATGCTTATGCCCAATGAGCCCTTTGGTTAAGAAGTCAATATTTTGAGAATTAAACTTAAATTTTTATCAATATTTAAATTGCAAAGAATGTGAAGAAATTAATGGAGATCAAGCTAAATCTCTTAATTAAATGTGCTCTAAATACTGAGAAAAACACCATTTTTTAATTTTATTATTTTATTATATTCAGGAGCTTACACTCTTCTGTGAGCACTCTAGCTTTGTTGTTTTGAAAAGAATGTTAAAAAAAAGTGCTAGTGCATTTCCTACTTAATTCAAATAGTCGATTATTAATAAACCTCAATTGATCCGCACTCCCTCTAGTAGAAAACAAGCATGACGCTCTACTCTAGCCAATCATGCGTTCACAGACGATCGTTCACATGCCGGCTCAAGCCAGAACGGAACCGATGACAAGTGAAACCACAACTAAAAGTTCCCGCCAAGCGAAAGTGAACTGACATTGAAATATAAGTGTGACTTCTGTAGAATAGCGGTTTGAAAAAAAAAATTATTTCACATCTTTCTCATCACTTTCCTTTTTTAGTTTTTCTCCCGCAGCCTTCAAAAGGAGAGAAAGAGAGAGAGTAAAGTTTTGTAGAAAGGATTTTCCGGTGAGTTGCGTTATGTCTTCGGTTTCTCTTTTTGTTTTGTTTTTCATTTTCTTTTTATTGTAATATAAAAAGACGTTTAAATAGAGTAAAAAAACCATTATTTTACTGGGCCTTCTTCAAATAGTTGCAAGATAACATTCTTCCTTTTATAATTCTATAATCCTTAAGAATCTTTAATATTTTAAAACCTTTTTAATATTCCAATAAATTATTCTAAAATCGTTTGCAAATTTTAATAACAGGAACACTTTCGTGTGACAGCAAGAAAAGAGTTCTATTTGTAAGTTGTATGTTTTAGAGTATTTTGCTAATAATTATCATTTAGAAACTTAAGATTCTAACATAAAAACAATTTTAATTTATTATTTTTCAGTCATTTGTTATTTCATTTATATTCATCATTTGTTCTTTTATAATCAGACATCATTATAAAATTATTTTCTGATGTATCATTAATACCATTTTAATCTATTTCTCTTATCGGACGTCATTATAAAATTGTTTTAGAATTTTTATAAAATATTGGCAACAAGGTAACAGTTGGTTTTTTAAGTTACATTTTTCGAATCATTTTGCTAATTTTATATTTCCGAAATACAATTATGTTATTTTCTGCCATTAAATTTGAACTTATTTGAAAGATATTCTTTCTTTTTAAGATCTTCTTCTAATATTTAAGAATCTTTTAAACTTTCAATCTTTAAATTTTTTTTATGATTTTGCTTAATCAGGTATCACTGCAAAATCATTTTCTAATTTTGATGGAATAATATCAATATGGCCACAGTTAAATTTGTAAGTTACGTTTATAAATATATTTTATAATTTTATATTTATAAACAATGCAATTTTGTAGTTATCAGACCTTCAATTAAGAACATATTTGAAAGATATCTTTCTTCTTTTTTATTTTTTTAAAGAACTTTTCTATTCCCTTAGAACTTAAGATTCCTTAATCTTTTAAAACAATTTTATTATTCTTATTTTATCAGACATCATATAAAATTATTTTCTAATTTAGATAAATTACAGGCAGCAAGGGAGCAGTTGGATATTTAAATTTTTAGAATTATTTTGCTAATTTTTTATTTATGAAATACAATTAAATAAATTTCTAATGTTAAAGTTGAACTCATTTGAAAGATATCATTCTTTTATTTTAATCTTACAAAGGTATTTTTTTAATATTTTGGAATCTTTAATTTCTTAAAACTTTTTTTATATTCAATTTTACCATGTATCAATATAAATCATTTGCTAATTTTAATAAAATGTTTTCAAAAAGGTGACAGCTCAATTTGCAAGTTACATTTGTAAAAACATTTTGTTTATTTTATATTTATGAACAAAACAACAACGTAATTTTTTGACATTTAATAATATTTTATTTAAAATTTGCCTTTCTTTCTTTTTAATCTTCCTTAGATCGTTCCTAATCCTTTAGTGTTTAATTGCTTGTTATTTGCCTTTTTAATTGCTGAAACTCTTTTTAATGAATGCTCTTTCCTTTTATCCAAAATCTCAATAAAATCATTTTCAGGTTTAAATAAATCAATGGCAACATGGGGTCAGTTCAATTTCAAATTTAAATTTTTTCGGACATTTACTAATTTTCGTGAAACAAAGAATGATTATATAATTTTCTGGAGTTTTATTTTAACTTTTCTGACTTCTTATAAAAATTACATTGTTGTCTTTTAAGGAATCAACTATTTTATGATTGAAATGAAAATATGTTAATATTAGTTTATTAATTTTTCCAATTTTATTATTATATATTTTGACTCTTTTGTAAATAAAATTAATGTGCTTGCTTCTTACAATTTTCAAATGCCCAATTATTATACTATTCAATCAGTGTATGATTATTTCTCTAACTGAAGTTCGTAAAATTGATTAGGAAGCTAATCAATGTGTTTATTTATGAAATATGCATACTTTCCTTTATTTGCACTATTTTATGTATTTTTTTTAACAAGTGTAATGTAAAAGCAAATGGAAAAACAGCTGATGAACGTAACATACTCAAAACAACTCAAAATGTTTTAGGCATGGTTTATGAGCAACTTAGATATTAAAACATTCTGACGGTTTTATTATAGATTATGCTTTTTTAAACGTTTGTGTAAAACCAAAAGTAAAGTTTTTTTCATTTCACTATTATTTACCTTTCGGCCTGAAACTTTTACTACTTTACTTTATTTTAGCATTTTTATGAAAAGCTAAAAGCTTTATTTTGACATTTAATATTATTTTTATTATTTTAGAACATTCTTAAGAAATAATAGTCAAGCATCTAAATAGCTAAGGTGTAACCTAGTAAAATATTATCCACATTAGTGCTATTTTATTTTTAATATAGATGTATTTAATTACTTATTTTTATCTAAATCCGTGCTTTAAAATATTTCGGATCAAATTAGGGCATGAAGTATTGGCATTTTGGGTGCGTCATACGTAAAATTCATTTTTACCGTAAAATAGTATACTGTAATTTTTACATTAATATTTATTTAATTAGTGAGATTCACAGATTTTATGGTAATTATTACAGTGAAAAATACGTTGTATCAGATTTTTTATTCCGTAGCATGCCCCGGTAAAAATGGATTTTAGGGTAAAAAGTATCAGCATCCTAAATGCCGGCTATTTTTACTGTAAATATGATTCGGAATTATTTACAATATATGAATATTCCCGAATATCAAGAAAAGGAAAAAAAGGAAAAAAACTATGTTCATTAATATTTAAATGCAGTAAATTTTCGTTTATTTGAAGAACTAGGTAGTGAAACAGTTAGTGAAAGATTCAGATCTTTCATCGTGCTGAAGTACGTATCTCTTGTTTTGACTGACAAATTTTAAAATTTTTTTTCAAAAAAATGTAAAAAGCTTCTTACAGTCATGTGTTAACGAAAAGCAAAGAGAGACCGCCAAATGTCAGAGGGAAATATCGCTAGGCAAAACTCGACAAAATAGAAAATAATTCATCTAAACCTGTCTTTTGACAAATCATGTATCTGAATTATAAATTAACGGAATTTTTTTAAACTTATAAGACATTTCATAAAATAAATCTAAAATCAATATTTAAAATCATTATTATTTTTTTTTTTTAAATTTATGTTTTTTTTAAAAAACATTCCTGAATTTAATTTCATAATTTACTGTAGTTTCAACGTAATTAAAATTGAATATTCAATTAGAAATAATTTATTTGTATTTATTGAACTGAAAATTAATTAATATAAATTTAACAGAAATAAAATAATAAATGTTGAGTCTTACCACTTATTGTTTAATTGTATGAAACTCTTTAATGTACAGTGTAAAAAAATAAACAGATCACCCTGAATAACTTTTAATCTAATGATCAATATAATAATTCATTTAATTTTTAACCTAATTTCACCTTCTATGAATTAGTCTTAAGGCTTCGAGTGGGTGATATCAAATATGCTAATTAATTAGATATTTTAAATTAAAAAATCAGATACAGAAATGTACATTCTCCATAAACATACTTCCCTCCCCCACCTTATTCGGATTTCTGACACCCAAAATATAGAGAAGAGTCTCAATCTGGGAAACATAGTCCCAATTAGCCTATTTGAGATCATTTCCTCAAACCATTAGGATTGAGTCCTAGAACGTGAAGATCCGATCATTAGATTAAAAGTTGTTTAGAGTGATCCGTTTTTTGTTTAAAAAATAATTAATTGTGATTGCTAAATATAAAAATAAATGATTTATTTTTATTTTATAATTGTTTTTTTTTAATAATTATTTTGATTTTGAGTTCCTGCTTTTTAGCAATTTATTCTGAAAGGCATACGAGAGATAAGGCATTTGACATTTATAATAAATTAATAGTAAATAATCAGGTGGGAAGACAGAAATTAGAATTTAAATATTTTGACATTTTTTATAGATTAGAAACAATGTGACTATAAACGTTTTCTTATTTCGACCTTATGCTAGATGAAACTAAAAAAATGTATTGCACAATACTTGTACAAAAATCGAAAAGCATTATATACAAAGCCGAGTTGTTTTATATCTCATTAGCAGCTTACGCTGAATTTATCAATTTATTTTATTTATATACTTTCTTATAAAATTTTTATGATTTCTATATTTATCCGTACACGTTTGATTTTGATGCACGTTATCTCTATTATATAAGACACCAATGTGTGTGTATGCTGTCACAAAACCGATAAAATTTCTTTTTTTTTCTGACGTTGACAGTGAAAAACTAAAAACAAACTCAGCTATAAAATGGAGGATTAAAAGCAGATGGTTTATATAAACAAATAAATGGTTCTATTGTTACGATTTAATTATTTTTATTTATATATGTAAGTAACACAATAATTTAGAGCTACATTTTTGCCTTAATGAGGCTCAATAATTACTGCAAGAGATGTATTATAACTACGGAGATTTGGCCACAAATGCGTTGCTCATTAACTCAACCTAAATATTTGTAATAACTCTGGTTATACTATCTTCTTTTTTATCAAATTTGTGACTGCGTTTTTTTTCTTATTTTTTAAAATTTTCTTTGATTTTTTTTCAAATTTTGCGAGTTTATGTTAGAATAACGGACTTAAAACTTTTATCTTGAAACACTGAAATTTTTAGCTATGTAAGTAGGAAAATTCAACAAATTATTAGTTTTATTAGCTTCAAGTACACGAAGAAAAAATTCTGTTTAAGTTACCGTACCGCAGATTAAAGATATTTTTTGTTAAAACAAAAAGCATAATTCTGCTTACAAAACCAAAATACACGGTATTTAAAGCCTGTTTTCGATAAATTTTTCGTTCATATGGAAATGGTTTACCGAAAATTCTAATTTTTAAAACTATAGCGCTTATTACCTCACATTTAGCAAAAATTACAAAACAGAAAAGTAAATTTAATCGAATAAGTGCTTTTTATGCCTTGCATTTTTATACCGTTATTATTATTGCATCTTTTATGCATTTTTTTATTGAAAAAAAAAATCCAAATTTTAACACATTTACTAAATTTTGTAACATAATATTAAGTCACATTTTATTGTTAAATTTAGAAAGAATTTAATCACAGCCCTTTGGTAAAAATTACGGAACTTGTTAGTGCTTCGATAAATTCAGAAATAAATAATTTTTTTTTCCCGAGCAGTTTAGACCCCACTTTTTTTCGTTGTAGCATTGGAATGTATTTAAATCAAATCGTAATGTGGAGATCGTAATGTGCGTAATGTGATAGTATAGATGTGGTTGTATTGATA